ATACTAATCTAATCTACTACTGCCTACTCATTAAGAGTCATTAATTTTTAATTTAACAATTTGTAATAAAATGGCGGCCAGTTGTGAGGGTGAAAGTTCTAAACGCGTTGCAGTTCTTCTCATTTAGCATGGCACTAGCCTTGACCTGTGGTGCTGACAGGAGTTACAGAAGAGGAAACTTGAAGAGTATCAGCTAAGAGAGGTCCCAGTTGACAGGAACACTCAGTGGTGACTGGTGATGAGCCGCACTGTCTATCCATGGATTATAGAGCTGTTGCACGGAAGTAATTAAAGAACACGGGAGAGACTACACTCGTCTCTACCGCTATATACGTTCTATGACTAAGTCAGCTGAGCTCCCTCACACAATGTGTTTTGGGTCTAAACTTGCATCAGATGACCTTGACAAGGCTACACTCTTTAATGAGTATTTCTACTATTCACCAGGGGTTGTTCTAGTGATCCTTATCCGCCCCAGTCCTCTCCCCCTACTTCTGCCCGTATCGACTCTATAATCTGCTCGGAAGAAGAAGTCTACAAAATCCTCACTTCTCTCAACACCACTAAAGCACCTGGCATGGTATATAGTTCCTGCCCTCCTGAAACAGTGTGCCCTAGCCCCTCACTCCTCCTATCACTCACCTCTTCAACCTCTCTCTCTCCACCAGTACTTTACCTCTGGATTGGCGCACTCACTATATCAAGCCTATTTTCAAGTCTAAGGATAGGACATCTGGCCTAAACTATCGTCCCATTGCATTACTCCCAGTCATTTCGAAAGTTCTGGAGAGAATTGTCTATAACAGGCTTATAGTGCATACTAGGTGAGTCAATATCCTCTAATCAATACGGGTTTTTACCTTCACGATCTACTGTCCAACAAATGTTAACTATGATGGCAAATGTGTACGAAGCCTTGGACAATAAGAGCTGTGTCGACTGCATCTACCTAGACTTCCGGAAGGCATTTGATTCCGTCCCCCATAACAAGCTTCTGCTGAAATTGTGGAAGTCTGGTATTGTGGGTCCTCTATGCACTGCAAAAACGATGGTGGGTTATACCCACCATATCTGTGGAAGGTACCCACTTTTTTGTTTTCCACCAATGTGGGTGAAACCCCCTGGTGTTATATTCCCCCCTTTGGTGGAAAATACCCACCATCAATGTGTAATAATTACACTCATAATAATAATGTAATAATTAATTTAGTAATGCCACGCCCACTGCGCATGCGCAGTTCAGTTCCAAATTAATCCAGCTGCAAATGGCTTCCTTCTCTTTGTCCTCCATTACTGCCAGTCTATTTTTTGGTCGTTTAGCTCTTAGTTTTGCCTCTGTATTTTTTGAAATCCCCAGAAAAGTATGGTACTACTTCTGTTATGTATTTATTACGATAGTTTTGCTCATTTTATTGTAGTTATCTCATTTTCGAAGCCTGCTTCCATGTCAGCAGCTATTTCTGTGACTCTTCCTTCAGGCTGTCCCCTTAGGCTATGATTTGTGTCTAGACTGATTGAGTAAGACTTGATATTGTTGTTATAAAACTCTCATGACATGGCATGCTAATAATCAATATAAAAGTACTCTCACTCTCTGCTTTCTCTTTTCCTCTAAGACTACCAATAGCTGTGTTCAAAATGGATCACGTCCATACAAGACTTGCTTATTGATTTTGTTTTGATGTGGTAAGAATTTTATTAGTTGCATGCTTAAAAATTCATCTCCCTTTTGTTTCTCTTCTGCGGCTTCTTTTTTCTCGTTGCCTCCTCCTTTCTCTCTCCTCTGCTTTCTCCGTTGCCACCCCCTACCTCAGTATAGGTTTTAGCTTCTTTTCAAGTGAATTGTATCTGATTACATCATTTTTTTGATATGGTAAGCATTGTATTAATTGCTTGAAATTTTATCTCTTTCCTCCTCTTCTATCTCTCCTCCTCTCTCTGTCTCATCCTTTCTCTGTCTCCTCATTTCTCTGTCTCTGTCCTATACCTGTAGGTTTTAACTTCTTTTTAAGTGTATTGTGTCTCTGAGTGTACAAGACTGTATCATTTAATTTTGTTCACATGG